CTTATGCAGGATAGAAAGATGGTGGCTTATGTATCTCAGAAGTTAAAGACTTATGAGTGTAACTACCCTACTCACGAGCCGTGATCTTTGCCCTTAAGATTTGGCGGCACTATTTTTACGATGAGAAGTGTTGCATTTACACTTATCATAAAAGTCTGAAGTACCTCCTTATTCAAAAGGAGCTTAACTAGAGATAGTGCTGGTGGTTAAAATTACTTTAGGATTACGATTGTGAAATCGAGTATCCAGACCCGACCCAATACATGTGCCAGATGGGCCTTAGTCCAGGGCAACATGTTTGAGGGGGCATCATATATATGTTTAAGGAGAACCTTTTAAGATGGTAGGGGAAAGTGATGGGGAAAGGTGTTGAGCTTTGGTTACTACTAGCATTGCTGCAGTATATGCACAACCCCTTATGAGGTTCTAAAGATTTGGTTTTTCAATGGCCGCCATTGATAAAGCTTTGGGCTTTATAACATTAATTGTGAATTTCTTTAGGGCCATTACCCATTATCCCATGAATTCATTAACAAGATTTTAGATTGGTCCAATTTGGTTAATTAAGTTAAAACTCAAGATATAAACCTTTCAGTTTAATGACATAATTTGATCTTTTATTTTTATAATGTGTCCAATATGATAATAATCAATGATTTACTAACAAACTGATTTAACTCTTTACTTTAACAAATTCAATGGGAAAAACTAAGTTAGCTAAAACCAACTTTAGCGAATGAAATAGTTGAAAGTTGTGTTCCAGCAATGGATGGTAGAGAAGAAAACAATATTGCCGAAACAAGCTCACCCACAGTTTCTCTCCATTTTGCCATCCGTCATGGTTTATTAATCCTGTACATGTATATACACACACTCATAAGTCTTCGAAGCACGATGATCATGATAGATTGAACAGATTAACAATTCTAAGCATCGAAAGTCAATTTTTACAAATTCTTGATTATCGTAAAATAATAGAGGTTTTTGCTTCAAAAAATGCACGAAGGCATCGTTTTAGGTGATATTTGTAGCCTTGTAGGTTTTGGTTTGTATTAGTATTGATATTGTTTGACTATAATTTCTATTATATTTTTGCTTTAAAAAAATTATTTATGTTTTGTCTATTATACGAACAAGTATAGGGGCATAAAATTATTATCTCGCCCATGGCATTAAAACTCATTGGATAGGCCCTACAAGTATCACCCTGAAAAAACTAATATGGTTGTTGATATGTTGAACCATAATGTCATTGCATATTTGAGGGCTTTGTTTTCTCAGATGAGTTTGTATGAGGATGGTAGTCTCTTGGCTGAGTTACGTGTAGTTCATACTCTTGTTTTCGAGATTCGTATGGAACAATGTAATCGGATTAGAGAAGTTGAGAATTGGTGCATCTCAAGATTTTATTGTTAACTGAAATGGTGTTTTGTGTTTTAGAGGGCGATACTGTATTCCGAGGAATTCTGGTTTGAAGCAAGTTATTTTTCGTGAGGCTCATAATTGTTCGTACTCTATGCATCCTAGTGGGGACAAGGTGTATAAGAATCTCTGAGAGAGGTATTGGTGGAAAAGACTTAAGATGACACGACTTTATATTACTGAGATTGTCTATTTGCATGGAGTACCATTATCCATCATCTCACATTGTGACCCGAGGTTCACCATACAATTCTAAAAGTCTCTTCATAACGCACTTGGTACACAGTTGAATTTCAATATTGGTTATCATCCATAGAAAGATGGTCAGTCGAAGTGGGTGATTCAGATTCTTGAAGACATGTTGAGAGGTTGCATCATTGACTATAGTGGTAGTTAGGAGGAGTTTCTACCGTTGGCTGAGTTTGCCTACAATAACAACTTTCAGGCCAATACTAAGATGGCTATGTATGGACATAAATGTCGAACTCTGATTGGTTGGACTGAGTTTGTTGAGCATAGATTATTGGGTATGGATTTGGATTTTAAGGCATAGCAGGCTGTTAGGATGATTCAGAATAGAATGAGATTGCCTTTGATAGACATAAATCCTATGTTGATCTGAAACATCGGGATATCGAGTATACAGTGAGTGATAAGGTTTTCTTAAAAGTATTTTTGTGGCCTTATCGAATAGTTCATCATGTAGGACCGATTGCTTATCAACTTGATTTACCACTTTAGCTTGCTCGCATTCGTAACGTTTTCCATGTTTATGTGTTGAGACATTAATGAGCTAACTTGTCACATGTATTAGATATGGATAAGGTAGAGATCTAACCCAACTTGAGATTCGTAGAGGAACCAGTTGAAATTATTGAGAGGGATGAGAAAGTTATACGAAGTCTTGTTGTGTAACGTGGAATATGATGAGTCTACATAGGGGACCGATGATGCCATGAAGGCTCAATATTCACATCTCTATCCTCTAGGTAAATTTCGAGACTAATTTTCTTTAAAGGGGAATTGTAACACACCGAAAAATATCCAATTTAAAACCCTAGAAATTGGGAAATTTTGACATAAATTCCTAAATTGAAATTAGTGACAGAATTGTAAATTTGGAAAACTTAAAGCCATTTTCAAAACCCTAGATAATCGGGTGGCTTACCTTGTAATTAGACCATTTTTCTTTAAACCAATCTTCTTCCCTCGATTATATCACTATGCGGCGCCTCCTTTTATTTTTAAAACCCTAGCAGTTGTAGACTCATATAGATAGTATAGTCTCGTGGCCTGGTCAACACTAAACAAAGCAAAGAAAAGCAAAGTAAGCAAGCAGTTGTAGTCTCAGCTTCTTGGATTCTTCCGGGAAAACACTTTCATTTCCAATACTCAACTTCCATGCTTTCTTCCAAAGGTATTAATAATTATACAGAGATTGCTTAGAAACTTTTGTTTTTGGAAATTTGATCTCTTTTTTCTATTTATTAATGTTCATATATTTGAACATCAGATTGAGACACCCTTTTCTTCCTCCTATAATTTGTCATGTTGTCATTACCTTCGTCTTCCTCGTCTAGTTCCAGCCTCAAATATAATGTTTTCTTGAGTTTTAAAGGTGAAGATACCCACAAAAATTTTACAGATCATCTCTATGATGCTCTTCAACGGAGTGGAATCGTCACTTTCAGGTATGACCCAAAGCTGGAGGCTGACGAAGAGATTGCGCAAGAATTCTTTAAAGCCATTCAACAAGCATGGTGCTCGGTAATCGTTTTCTCCAAAACCTACGCCTTTTCAAGTTGTGTTTGGAGGAGCTTGCTGAGATTGTTAAACAAAAATTTGAAAAGGGTCATAAAATATTTCCAATTTTCTATGATTTGGATCCGTCTGATTTGAGAAAACAAAAGGATAAAGTTGGAGAAGAATATGCCAAACACGAAGAGAGATACAAGGAAGATAAATACAAGATCTAAAGATAGCGAAATGCTTTGACTGAGGTTTCTAACATCAAGGGATGGCATTTGAATAACAAGTAATTCATTCTTTTCTTTCTTAGTTTGATAATTTATTTCATGGTCATATCTGTTCATTTCTTAAATGAATAAAAAACTAAATTTAATTTCTATTGTAGGCATGAATCTGAATTTATTGGAGATATTGTTTAAAAAATCTCAGCAAAATTATGTCAAACATATCCAATTGTTCATTATAAGTTTGTTGGAATTAGTTCCCGTTTGGAGGAGTTGTATTCAAGAATCGATATTGGAGAAGATAATGTCTGTATTATAGGAATATGTGGAATGGGTGGCATCGGTAAAACCACTCTTGCAAGTGTTGTTTACGACCAAATGTCATTTCATTTTAATGGCAAAAGCTTTATTGCTGATGTTCGAGAAGTTTCAAACAAATTGGGACTTGTTTCCTTACAGAAACAACTTCTTTCTCAAACCTTGTTTGAAGGAGGATTCAATATATTCGATGTTGATGAAGGAAATGCAATCAGTCATAGGTTGTCTCACAAAAGGGTATTGTTGTCATCGATGATGTTGATAACAGAAAACACTTGGAACACTTGGTTGGAAGGCGTGATTGGTTCGGTTCAGGCAGTAGGATCATAACAACAAGAGATGAACATCTGCTCCGATCTTATCGAGCCGACTATGTGTATAAGCCTACAACATTGAGTCCCAATGAGGCACTTCAACTATTTAATTTGAAAGCTTTTGATAGTGAGACAGAGTTGGAAGATGTTTTCATCGAGCTTTCGGAACATGTTATAAGTTACGCTGGTGGTCTTCCCTTAGCTCTTGAAGTTTTGGGTTCTTTTTTGTGTGGTAGAGATGCAACTCAATGGAGAAGTGCAATTGAAAGACTTAAACGAGACTCCTACAAAGAAATTCTTGATAGACTTCGAATCAGTTTTGATGGATTGGAAGAAAGGGAAAAGAATATATTTCTTGATATCGCATGCTTCTTCAAGTGGGAGGAGAAAGTTTTTGTAACCAAAGTGTTGGATGGTTATGAGTTTTTCCAAGATATTGGAATCGATGTTCTCGTTAAGAAATCCCTAGTGGCCGTTGATGGAAAGAACAGATTGTGGATGTATGACTTGCTACAAGAAATGGGAAGAAAAATTGTTTGGAAAAATCTATTGATGAACCTGGAAAGCGTTGCAGATTGTGGGATGAAAGGGACATCCAACATGTTCTAACAAAAAAAAACTGTAAGTCATTCAATAAAACTAAGTCTTCCTATGTACAAAAATATACATAATATTTTGATTATTCGATCGAGTAGGAGGAATAAATTTATTCATAAATTTGGTAAACTATGTCATTTAAAATATTTGTAGTTGATTATAAATGTTAATAAGGATTTGAATAAGTATATAATTTCAGTAAATCACTCTCATTGGAAAATGTTATAATTTGTTTAAAGTGATTTATTTACTATATTCCGTTCAAAAGATTATCGTAATGTTAAACATAGGTGTAAATTGTAAAAAGTTTTATCATGCAGTTTAAACCATTCATTCTGTCTTCTTATACTATGTTCTTGATTACTTGTAGGCCACAGAAGTGATTGAAGCCGTGATCATCGATAATCAAAGGTAGGAAAACATTTACACACGTTTATCAATGTGTTTTACATGTGCATCGATAATTCCAGTTTGTTAGCTTAGGTAATTTGAACTCAGATTTAAGGGTTAGATATAGATATGTGTTTTACATATGCATCGATTTCAATGTTTTTCCATGGATTTGAAGAGTTCTTAAAATATCATATAACAATACTCTTATTCGAATATGCGTCAGATACAAGTATCAAACACGGATGATTGAAAACACAGTAATGGAGCAACATAGCTTTTAGGTATTGGATTTTCTTTTGCGTAGTTTGAAGCTCAGTTTTTGTTTTTCTCATGGTTATCAGGGAATCGAACAAGACACTCAATTTGAATGTCGATGCCTTCTCGAAGATGAAAAGATTGAGATTGCTCAAAGTTCTTTGCCTCTCAAATTGTGATGGTCTCAAATATCTTTCTAATGAGCTACGGATTTTAGATTGGAAAGGATGTCCTTTAAGATCTCTGCTCTATGGCTTTCAACCGGACAACCTTGTTGCACTTCTGTTACAATACAGTCACGTTAAACAACTATGGAAGGGAACCAGAGTAAGAATTAATTCTATTTTTAAGATGAATGATTAAAATTTGATTATGATAGAGACAAAAATAACAAGAATCAGCTTTCTTAGAGTTTCTCGTTTCTCTCTAATTTATTATTGTTTTCAACAGCCCTTGTACAAGCTGAAAGTGTTAAACCTCGGAGGGTCCCCGAACCTGATCAAGACTCCGGACTTCACAATGGCCCCAGGTTGTACAAAAATAGTTGGTGTTCATCCATCCATGGGAGAGCTTAAGAAGCTTAAATATTTGAACTTGAGTGGCTGCAAAAGTCTTAGGAATCTTCCAACCAAAATTGGAATGGAATCTCATCATACATTCATTCTTTCGGGTTGCTCAAATCTTCTTTGGTTTCCAGAGATTGATTGCAAAATGGATTGTCTAAAAACTCTTGATCTTTCTGGATGTTATAGAGTTGGATTTTTGCCAGAGCTTTTGCAGCTAGCAAAGTCTTTGGAAGAGCTCGACTTGAGTGAAATGGCCATAACAAAACCTCCATCCTGCATTTTTCGACTTAAAAATCTTAAAGTTTTCTTTCAACGGCCACAAGGGATCTTCATCTAAGTTTCAAAAATATCCGCCTTCTCTCTTCAAAAGGATCCAAAGAGGAAAGACAAATTCAATGGCTCTGATGTTGCCTTCATTGTCGGGTTTGAGTTCATTGAAAAAACTGAAACAAAGGGACTGTAATCTTTGTGAAGGAGATATTACTATTGATATTTCTCGTCTACCCTCTTTGGTAATACTCGATCTCAGCAGTAATAATTTCATTAGCCTACCTGATTCTCTTACTCGACTTTCCAAGCTTGAAGTTCTTAAATTGATGAATTGTCGCGGGCTGAAATCGTTGCCTGAGCTTCCAACAAGTACAGTAGTTGTGAGCATAGATCATTGTACTTCACTGGAACTAATTTCGAATCCATCAAAAGTATGCAATTCAAGGGATTTTGTGTGTTATAGGTACCAACTGCTACTGTAACACCCTAATTTAGGGTCAAATTATAAGTTTCCAAAACTTATATTTAGTTTTAGAAAGTCGGGGCAATTCAGGGTACCAGTCCTGAATTTACCCATTTTTCTTATATGTTGAAAAATAAATTCCCCTCTCCCGTGTAATCAGTTTTCTAGATTGCTTTTTCCCATTTCCTCTCCCTCGTTAACCCCCTTTTAAAATTCTATTTTTAAGATGAATGATTAAAATTTGATTATGATAGAGACAAAAATAACAAGAATGAGCTTTCTTATGTTTTCTCTTTTCTCTCTAATTTATTATTGTTTTCAACAGCCCTTGTACAAGCTGAAAGTGTTAAACCTCAGAGGGTCCCCGAACCTGATCAAGACTCCGGACTTCACAGTGGCCCCAGATCTTGAAGTTCTGATCCTGGAAGGTTGTACAAATATAGTTGATGTTCATCCATCCATAGCAGAGCTTAAGAGGCTTCAAAATTTGAATTTGAGAGGCTGCAAAAGTCTTAGGAATCTTCCAACCAAAATTGGAATGGAATCTCTTCATACATTCATTCTTTCGGGCTGCTCAAATCTTCTTTGGTTTCCAGAGATTGATTGCAAAATGGATTGTCTAAAAACTCTTGATATTTCCGGATGTTATAGAGTTGGAATTTTGCCTGAGAGTTTGCAGCAAACAGAGTTTTTGGAAGAGCTTGATTTGAGTGAAACGACCATAACAAAACCACCGTCCTGCATTTTTCGACTTAAAAATCTTAAAGTTTTGTCTTTCAACGGCCGCAAGGGATCTTCATCTAAGTTTCTAAAAAATCTGCCTTCTCTCTTCAAAAAATTCCTAAGAGGAAAGACGAATTCAATGGCTCTGTTGTTGCCTTCGTTGTCGGGTTTGAGTTCATTGACAGAGCTGAAAGTAAGGGACTGTAATCTTTGTGAAGGAGATATTCCTATTGATATTTCTTGTCTATCCTCTTTGGTAATGCTCGATCTCAGCAGTAACAATTTCATCAGCCTACCTGATTCTCTTACTTGACTTTCCAAGCTTGAATATCTTGGATTGATGAACTGCCAGGGGCTGAAATCGTTGCCTGAGCTTTCAACAAGTACAGTAACTGTGAGCATAAATGATTGTGCTTCTCTAGAACTAATTGCTAATCCATCAAAAGTATGCAATTCAAGGGATTTGGTGCGTGTTATAGGTACCAACTGCTACAGATTGGCTGAGAACGTCAATGCATTAACGTTGCTGAAAAAACATATTAAGGTTGTTCAATCTCCCTTTTTTGCTCAACAAAATCTCGTACTTAAGAATTTGTGTTTTTAGTTACCAGCGAAAGGTGTTTTATTTTGCAGGCATTTGCAAATTCAAGAAATTCGTTCGAAGTTATTATACCTGGAAGTGAAATCCCGGAATGGTTCAGCCATTAAAGAGTCGACTCTTCAATCCAGATGCCACTGCCTCTCAATATTCGGAATGATAGTCAATGGATGGGAGTTGCTCTCTGCTGCATTTTTTCCGGTGGTGATTCTTTGGGGATGAGGAAATCAGCTGTAATGCTGTTATCCATTGTGGCGAAACTCGACGCGTTGGCATTGATTTAGGGAAAGGATATAATCAGCCCATAAAAAATAACCACCTTTTCTTGGTTATTTGTCGCGTGACGTGTTATATCCATATTCCTTGGAGAATGAATGTGGCGAAGGTGTTGGGGTGAAAAAATGTGGGGTTGGGATAGTGTATGAGAGATTTGGAAGATGTCCAACTTACAACAGAGTAACACATCAATCAAAGTAGGGCACAAATTAAATGAAGACTTCACTGTTGATGGACATAGAGACAGACATGTTGAGAACCATTAGGTACATGGGAAGAAACGTTTCTTGATTATGCTGACTTTCTAATCACCACTCCGTCTTACTAATTCTTTGCGTAAGTTGTCTATTTGTTACCTCATCTATTTTTCTACTTTTGTTTTGATCGTCCAACTACTATATTTTGATATATATTTTTTTACAAAAACTTGATCGTTGACTTAATAACTATAGTAATGTGACATAATGAAGTAACAATTTTAGTCTTTAACACTTACATATTATATTAAACTAAACCTAATTTGGAATACACATACTATTTAAATCATCATTCACAATAAACATAATACGCCAATAAAGTAGAGGAGAAAAAAAGCTTCTTTAGCCCATTATTCACCAAAGCTAAGTGTGTAACATGAGTCGTTTCGGAATAGTCAAGGCGAAGCCTTGAAACCGGGAGGATAAAAAAAAATTAGAGAATTTTAGAATACCTAAACTACTTTGACAAATTTAATATTTAAAAAAAAATTCTAAATTAGAGAGAAGGAGAAGAGAAATATTAATAACTTAAATATTGACGGTAAATACTAATTGATAATTTTTAATCACTTACTCTAAAAATTATTGACGGTAAATATAATAGTTAATTTATAGTTGAATATATATATATATATATAAAACTATAGTTAATATAGGATTTAAAGTGAAAATGAGTTTAAATTTTTTATATTTTTAAAATATTTTTAATATTTTCTATACTTTATAATAATGAAAAAAATATTATATTTAATTTAAAAATATAAAATATTAAACTAAATTTTGATTTTAAACTTATATATAATATTTTTTTTTCAATTCGTCTTACCTACATGAAACTCTGTGATATATTATAAAAAAATTATATAAAATCACTAAATAATATTACATGTATTTTGGCTCTATTTATTTCTAAATTTAATATACCTCTAATTTAACACATAAACATATTTTTTAGATATTAATATAAAATGGGTAAAATACACCATTCCTGACTGAATTATACTTTCTCTCTTATTTTACTCACTGTACTTTCAATTTTTTAATTTACCCATTGAACTTTCAAATTACTCCAGTTTTGATCACTATGAATTATTTTATTATTATTTTTATATGATGTGGCCTTTTTTTATTATTATTTAATTTAAAATAATTGAAAATATAAAATAAAAACATAAGGTGGTCGGACACCACCTTCGATCGCAATTCCTTTCACAGGCAGCACCTAAGCAGAAGATTTGAATTAAACTTAGGTCATACTTGGTACCCTTGATCGAGGACTCTTGCAAGCAGATTTTGGATGCCGCTCGAACTGCCAATGCCAAGATGATGGGACCTGTGCCGTGACCGACCAAGAAGAGGATCTATTGTGTCCTTAAATCCCCACATGTACACAAAGATGCAAGGTTCCACTTTGAGATTCGGACACACCAGCACCTTATCGATATTCTATACCCAACAGCACAAATGATCGATTCGTTGATGCAACTCGACCTTCCTGCTGGGGTTGATGTGGAAGTCAAGCTCTGAAGAATCAACACTGTAGGTTTAGATAAATTTTTGTATAAGTTGCAAAAGATGTCACTAGAAAATTTATATTAAGATATGCTTCATTTTCTTCCCTTGTATTGTTATATATTTTGCAGACTTAAAAGAACTTCAAGAAATGCAAATATTGAAGGTATTGAATTTGATGATTGCAAAAGATGAAGCGATTGTTATTTAGACAACAGGAATTAGGATGAAATTCAATATATACCGAATTGTTCTTAGCAAACAGATGAACTAATATAAGATTCTTAACGAAAATAAAAGTGCCCAACATGAGAAATAGCCATCGAGGTCAAGACCCTATAGTTATAGATACAACATATATAATTGTTCGAATTTAAAATCTCAAATAAAAATAATATAAACCATCGAAACTATTCCATAGTTTTTTTTTAAAGGAGATGTCAAATTACAAAGATTAAGAAAAAATATATGTATAATTATTTTAGTACTTGGTTTTTTTTGGTGGCCTGAAAAGTGGCAACTTCAAAGAAAACTGATTTACAATATTATTGTATATAATTTGTAATAATAATTAGGTTTAATGTAAAAATAAGTGATTAAAATATTTTTTTGTTAAAGTAGGTGTTTTTTTTTGTTATACTTTTACATATTTAATGTTTTCGACGTTATATATTTAGGTCTTGGGTTATAACGACTGTTAAAATTATCGTTATCCGACACATGTCAAACATATAATTTTTTCCTTCAAAAAAGAACTTAAAATTAAATTTTATTTAAAAATCCAATATTTTTTGAAATTATAAAAACCCCTAATTTCAATCCCTTAGCATTGTCGACCGCTACCAACGTCGTCAATTGACCAAATACCCAACATTGTTCTACCGAACAATCACCCAATGACCAAAACCCCTTATTTTTGCGACCGGTCATACACCCAATGGCTGTGTAAATACAAAATTTCGCAATCGGCTGAAATGGGTTCTTCACGTTGCAATCGTCGATTGGTAGCTGCAATTAGAGGTTGGAGAAAAGGCTTCGACCGTTGGGTGTTCGGCCGGTCTCACATTGTTGAAATTTCGGCTGGTTGACGGCTGTGACAAAGGGATTGAAATTAGGTTTTTAAGGAAGTTTGAGATTTTTTAATAATTTTAGGAAAAAAGGATTTTTTAAAAATAAATTTTTAAAGTTATTTTTTTAATTTTTTTTAAATACTATAAAATCGATACGTGTCACTTAACAGTCAAATTTAACGGCTGTTACAGTCTAGTCATGACTATTTATATGTTCTAAACTCATCGTTTTTGTTAAAAAATTGACGACAGTTTGAGTTGGATGTTAACTTGTTAATTAAGATATGATAATTGTTTAAGATTTTGGATCATATTTTATTATATCACAGTCAATATGTAAACGTCTAACTCAGAATGACGTTATTTTTTTAACAAAATATGATGAATTTGGAATACATGAATAATTAGAGGATCATTTTGTAACTTTTAATAGTTAAGGGACTCAACAAAGTAATGCATTACAGTCGAGAGATCATTTTATAACTTTTAATAGGCAGGAAACTTAACAAAACAACAATCTATAACCGGGATCATTTGTGTACTTAATCCAACATTTTATTAGTATAACCGAGTCATCTTACATTTTTTCTAAAATGACATGTTTGAAACATATGAATAATCGAATGATCATTTTCGAACTTTTAATAGTCGGGAGACTCAACAGAATAATACAAATTGGGTATATTTGTGTACTTTACCCATCAAATTTTGACTAGGTCTAATTACATATTTACTGCCTAGTACGAGATCCAGCTTGGGGGGAATTGAATAAACTAGGCAAATTTTGTCATTTCCAAAAGACCCACTTGAAGGCTTGCAGCAGGCAAAAACATTTGTTCGCCAAGCACAGCTTCTCCAAGAACGCCCTCTTTCATTAATTCAACAAAGTCTTCATGTTTCCTGTTTTTAGATCGAAATTTGAAGAATCCATCAAAGTTTTTGTCCAAAAGTAATCTCTACCCAACTCCTGTAATCTCCACCAGCTCAAATCCCCGAGTTTTCAAAGCTTTGGGACATAAGGGTTTGTTAGAAGAAGAAAAGGAAGATATTGGAATTGATCAGAATTTGATTTTGGTGAAAAGGGGTATTTTGGTGGCATTGGTTTGTGGTGTATTGATCTTTGGGTGCAGAAGAGTTTTTGCTGTAGAGGGAGTGGTTAATGCTGGTTATGGAGTGATTGGGCAGTGTATATTGTTGTTGAGGAATACTTGGCCTAAGGCATCTATGATTCTCAAAGTGTTTAAGGAACAAGGCGTGGTCTTGACTGCGCTTTTGAGTTTGTCTGCCTTCTTCTCAATGGTGGAGACTGCTATAACTACATTGTGGCCATTTATATAAAAAATTTAGGAAAAAAAACCTTCAAAAGAAATGAGCATAACCGAGTTAAACACATACCCGTCCCAACACTCCCTTGTCCGGTTGTCTTTCGATTTTCCTTCAGATGCCTGTTTCACAGATTCTTTGATGAGTTGAGATATTTGGCTCACGATAATATAAGATTATATTTTGATTTGTGATGTGATCATTCTATATGAATTCCATGTTTTATAGTAGTCTATCATTATCGAATTTGAATGATATCCGTCTCTTCTAGATATGAGCTCAATCATAGTTACTTATAAGAGGAACCAAGTTATTAATGTTGAGCACACAGGGAGAAAGATAGATCGAAGCACTTTAGAGTGAAAAGAGAGAGAAAAAAGATAGGTGAAAGAAGGAAAACAAAGAGAAAATGATAGAGAAACACAAGCAACTTTTAGAATAAGCCAGAGAACAACATAAAGTATGTATCATTTCAGCTATGAAACCTAAGTCAATATCAGTTAGTGGTCAAACCCTTGAGAATTTTTCGTCCAGACATACCTTTTGAAGTATGAATTGTACTTTGATTTTTAGTTACAGAGGATTCCAGTCTCTGCTGTTGCAGACGATTGAAGTTTCTGCTGCAAGTTTCCTCCATTGTATATGTGATCAAACCCTTAAGAATTTTGTCGTTCATTGATCACCTGATGTTAACTTGTGGCAGGTATGCGAGCTGGCTGAAAAAGACTCTGAAGATGATGTTTTTAAAATGCTTTCTAGTGATGTAACACGCTTTCTCACAACCATTCTTATTGGCACCACGTACTCTTCTTTTATTGCCATCACCTTGACCAGTTCCATTTTCCTTTTGTAGCTTTAGCTTGAAAGTATCTCTTATTGTGGATTTAATTTCTCTACTCAGGGTTGTCAACATTGGAGCAACTGCTTTAGTGACAGATGCTGCAACAACAATGTTTGGGGAAGCTGGTGTTAACGCAGCAACTGGAGTAATGACTGTATGTATCAATAACTTGTTTTTAGATTTGGTTTTGGGGTTGTATTTGTGGTATGCATGCCCTCGTTTTGTCTTTCGTGTATCTTGATTTTATTATAAGTCATTAAGATGAGTTGTGTCGGACTCAGTCAACACATGAATATATAACATATCTACTCGTGCAATAAATATGAAAGCCAGTTACCTTTTCTTTTATGGTGGTAGGTTGCCATTTTGCTTCTCACGAGATTACTCCAAAGAGTATAGCTGTTCACAATCCCACTGAAGTAGCCAGATTTGTGGTAAGCCCCCTGCCCCTTTTTTCTTTCAAAATTAAAATAAATTGTAAAGTATAGTAATGGTCATTGAACTTTTCTAAAGCTTTCATTTAGGTCCCCTAACTTTTAAAACTTGCAATACAATCCTCCAACATTTAGTCCGTTTGCAATATGGTCTCTGTTGTTAGTACGCTTGCAATATGATCACTGAACTTTTTAGGCGCTTCCATTTAGGTCCCCCAACTTTTAAAACTTGCAACACGATCCTCAATTTCATTATATACCCCAAATTTCTTTTCGATCTCGAATCTCCTTTTTCGCTTCTCTCTTCTCATTTTCAGCGTAATTTTTCAGTCGAGGATTCATGGAAAATTTTGTTGGGATTTACGGAAGCTCGAATCGACAACTGAAACTGTTTGCAAAGAGGGGTCAGAACAATTTTTGTGTTTAGGGAGTATGGAGATTGAAAGTTTGAAAATAGCACAGCGATTTATAGTGGTTCAACTTCTCAACAAAGTCTACATCCACTACCTTAGCTCCTCACCAAGGATTTTCCAACAAATTCACTAATATGTTACTTCATTTTTTCAAGGACAAAGAGATAACCTTTACAAACTCCCTAGTTTTTCACAGGCTAAACTAGAACCTTTCCCTAACTTTTCATGGGATCAGCTAGAACATTTCCCCTTTACAAAAGTAAACAAATAAACATCTCAAAGGTAGATGTTTACAAGAATTAAGCTCACCAGAACAATATTTACAAGAGAAAATGAAAATAATAATGAAAAACTTCTTCTCTTGTGTTTGAATTCTTGGATAGGTGTTCTCTACCTTCTTTAAGTGTCCTCGACTTGTATTTATAGCTTGAAATGAGTTTGAAGTCGTATATAGCCGTTGGGGATGTTTTGGAGCTGTTTGGGGATAATTTTTCTGCAAAAATAGGCTATCCAGAATAGGGGGTATCGGTACCTTTGTTAAATTCAAATTCAAATAGCCGTTGCTAGCCGTTGGAGCCTTGTAGTATCAATACTGCCTAAGGGGTATCGGTACTACTTTGCACTATGGTATCGATACCCTTGCATGGTATCGGTACCCTTTTTGCATTCGATGTTTGAGTCTTCATAGGGGTATTTATACCCATTCATAGGGGTATCGGTACCTCTTAATATTTTTACTCAAATCCGAATTTAATGGACTTTGAATTTTTTTAAAATCTTTTGAAAACTTTGAATAAATTCAATTCAAGTCCAAAATCATTTTGCCTTAATTTGTTATATCGAAACATAGTTCTACAAATTCTAATCTAACTTTGAATTATGTAGAGATGTTGACTTGAATAAGGGTCCATTGAGAGAAGACCCGACCAAGAGACTATCGAGATCATCAACGATTCAAGGTGTAATGTTAGATACATGTCATCTCGGGTGAAGCATATACGTTCGATGAAATGCTTGTGAGAAAAAAATGGGGTTAGAAATGCAGAGTTGACAAATACTACTAAGATGAGCTAAGTATCATTGTTGAAAGTCACCAACAAAGTTGGAATTATTTTTTATAAATGACAATAATTTCTTCGTTTCATCATTGTGGTTAAAATTTTTCCAACAGATGATCAAATATAATGAAATCCCAAATAGTCCATTCACCTCTCAGTCTCTTTCGCAACTCGAAAGGCATCATGACAGGGTCAAGTAGCTCCTCCAAATATACTACCCTGTCATGATGCCTTTCGAGTTGTGTGCATGCATATTTGTCTTCTAAAGCTATAATTTAATACAATTCAACTGTAAATTTTCCAAAACATGTAAAAAAAATCTAATTCGTTCACGATATATCGGTCTCATAATCAACATGAACTTATTAAAAAGAATACGAGATCACAGGACGCCGAAAACCATAGTTCGGGTCAATACAATTCCCAGTAAATTAGTACCAACAGTCTCTCGAATTGAGTCTAGCGATTTCACTATTCGATACTCTAAACCAATTCCCTAATTTAAAGAAAAACTAAACAAAAAGATAAAAATATTTAGCCTAGGACCCTCTTTCACTTCTGTTCTGATGGACTGAATATCTTTAATAAGGAGTACTAAAAGTTTTGATTAAGAAGAAAAAAAATTAGATGGTTTTGGTTTAAAACTAACATTGAATATCCAAATCATTGACATGCAGTTATAGAAACATAAAAATTTCAACAAAAAACATACAATGTGAGTTGAAATTGGGAAATTGTGAAAGAGAAAAAGTTTACTTCCGGATAGCCCAAAAGAGAAAATAAATACCTTCTTGCAAGTGAGGGGAGAAGCTAAGAAATAAACGCAATCGGTGTTGCGTTCCAACAATTCTTCCTTCATTTTTTCTTTTTAAATAAAAAGATGAAAGACAAAGCACTGCTTGGGTTTACAATTTTACATGGCGGAAAACTAAAGAACAAAACCAAACGAGAGTGCATGTGAGCAAAAGGGACTAAGAGGTGAAGGCGCTGTGTGGGATTTCATTATATTTGATCACCTGTTGGAAATCTTTAACCACAATGATCAAACAAAGAAATTATTATGTCATTTATACAAAATAATTCCAGCTTTGTTGGTGACTTTCAACAATGATACTTAGTTCATCTTAGTAGTATTTGTTAACTCTGCATTTCTAATCACATTTTTTCTCACAAGCATTTCATCGAACATCTATGTTTCACCTGAGATGACCTGTATCTAACATTACACCTTGAATTGTTGATGGTCCCGATAGTCCCTTGGTCTGATCTTCTCTCAATGGACCCTTATTCAAGTCAACACTTCCACATAATTCAAAGTTAAATTAGAATTTCACATGCATCTCCGACTGAAAAGTTACGCTGGAAATGAGGAGAGAAGCGAAAAAGGAAATTCGAGATCGAAAAGGAATTTGGGGTTTATAATAAAATTGAGGTCTGTGTTGTAAGTTTTAAAAGTTGGGAGACCTAAATGCAAACGCCTGAAAAGTCTAGTGACCATATTGCAAACGTACTAATGGTAGTGTAACGGCGGGGACCATATTGCAAACGAACTAAATGTTGGAGGACTGTATTGCAAGTTTTAAAAGTTGGGGGACCTAAATCAAAGCTTTAGAAAAATTCAGTGACCATTACTATACTTTACCCTAAAATAAAATCATTTGGCTATTGAAATTTCATCACTATCCAGATGAGTGCCAAAATAAAATTGGCCAACTGTGGTTAAAATATTTCTAGGTCAGGCCAATGGCATGGCTCTCTGTAATACTATATCCAGTTGGACGAGTTGTGACATATCTATCAATGGGAATGCTCAAAATTCTTGGTATAAAAGGAAAGAGGTGAAGAAAAATAGTTACCTGGATTTAACCTATCCACATCATTTAAGTCCCCATGCATTATCAACGTCTTTTGCAATGGTCTGTCAAAATTTCAACGTATGTCATCATTGTGTTATACGCCTTCTAAATGCCTTATTCCTTGTCTCTTTATTTTAGCGAACCTTATGTTACCGAAGATGAATTGAAGTTAATGTTACGAGGGGCAGAGTTGAGTGAAGCAATAGAGGAGGTGGAGCAGGTAACCATATATGTCATCTATATTATAAGTACAACGAATAATTTTGATTGAGCACTTGATTAACCCAAAATTTTATCTGCAATGGATATTTTTCTGTTATCTCCTTTTCTGTAGCAGTAGACCAATGGTTCTTCAGTGAATCCAAAATGAATAGCTCCACCTTAGCTATCCGGTGCTATTACCATTGGAATCCCTTCCAGGATATGATTGAAAATGTATTAGAGATAAAAGATACCCATGTTCGAGAGGTGATGACACCTCTTGTTGATGTAGTCGCAATCGATACAAGCTCAACTCTTGTTAAGTTCCACAATTTGTGGTTGACTCATCAATATTCAAGGTATATAAGCTTAGTAGTTAGTAATTCATCTTTTAGATGTTTTTCCTTACAAAACAAACTAAGGCCCCGTTTGGTTCAGGGTATAATTTATTCCTGGGAGTAATATTTTTTTTCTTGGGAGAATATACCCACGTTTGGATCAATCATATTACCAAATGAAATAATACCAACAGTGAATTTTTAGTCAGCTTTCCCGGGAATATCTATCCCCCGCCTCCCTTAGGTATTTGGTTATTCCCGTCCTCTGTTGGCTAAAATACCCTCTCCCCGTAAGCTTGCTTCTGCGAATGAACTTTGAGCTCTTTGAAGCCTAATGCAAAAGCAAAAATGTCAAACTCAAATGCCCCAGAGTGCGTGGTACGAGGATGAATCGGAGTTGGAAAAGAAAGTGTTTGGAGAGGAGGGGAAGGGGGAAAAGGCTGTAGATGTTAAAACGTGGAGGAGCTGAAGAAATTAGCCGAGAAGAAGATGAAACTTAGAGGAAGATTGATGTGCCAGTACGCTAAAGATTATGAATCATCGAAAGGAATGTATGGGGATATGAAGATGGTTTTGGCTAGTCAGATGTTAGTGACAACTGCTGATAAAGTTTATGCCTTTTCATTCTTGGTTGTGGATAATCCTGTTGCTAATTGCTGAACTGCTATTGTTCAAATTGCAGGGTTGGTAACATCAATAGTGTTTTTATGTTTCTAGTTTTCAGGCTGTGACGTATTTTGGTTTTGTAAATCCCTGCTTTTGTTCCTTTTTTCTCTACTGTTGCTTGCTAGATGATGGATCTTGAGGGGAAATCCCATGAGTGTAATACACCAAAATTTAGATAATGACCAAAATGCAAATTTTGAAAGTTTGATGGTCAAAGTTAAAAATTGGGAAAAGTTTAGGGAACTAAGTGATAAATTTCCTAAAAAGATTTTTATTCCATAAATATATGGTTTACTCTTGAGATTGGAGTTTTATGGAAATCATATTGTTGGATTTGGAATTTAGTAAAGAAATAGTTAAAGCCGGTAATGAATCGATAAATTCTGATCGAATCAGAATTTTACAAAAATTTGAAGGATGTTATAAAATGGTTGGAAATATTATTTTAATATTTTGGATCAGAGAAATTTGGTTTGGAAATGTGCAATATTCCAATTTAACCGAAACAGTGGAATTTAGTGACTAAAACGCAAGATTTGAAAATTCAAGGTGAAATTCGGAATTAAAAGTCAAAATAATTTATGTTTAACTTTATAATATGATAATAATCAGATTTCTTGGTTTTATGGTGATTATGAAAATTCATTAAGGGTGATTTGGTCTTATCACAATTAAATGAATATTTTATTCATTTAAGTGGAATATAGAGTAAAATAAGATGAAATGCATCCAACATTTCACTCAAATTTGCTATCTTCTTCTCCAGCCAACGTGGTCTTCTCCTAAGGTAAGAACAAAGCTTCAATTCTATTTTCAAGCCATTTCTTTAGGATTATGAGTATGATGAAAATAGAAAATGGTTATTTACGAAAAACGCTATCATTTGGTACCAATATTGCATGATTATCTTGTTTGATTTCAAAATCCCCAAATCTGAAAATTTGGGTTTATACTATGGTTGTTAAATTGATGATGATTATTGATGATTTTGAGGTTGTATGAATTGATGAAGAACATAAGGATGAGGTTAAAGAAAAACAGTTTAGATTTTGGGAATTACAGTAGGTTTGAAAATTCACCAGAAAATATATAAAAATAATTTGGACATGAATTTTATATATTGTGTTCATATATGGATCTAGTTTTGTTTAAAACAAAAGGGGATCAATTTCAAGTTGTATACAAATATATATGAATTTTTAACTGAGGAAAGGTCAGAAAAGTCGGACAACAGAATTCTGTACAAAACAGATTCTGCTGGTGAACTTTGAAAATTCACCATAAATTGTACAGAATGAATTAGAAGGAGTTCTTTATATGGATAGATTCGTATTCGAGTCTAGTTTTTAACGGAAGAAACAGAATTGAATTCCAGTGTCTATATAAATACAGAATAATAATTCTTTAAGGGTAGTACGAGTTGTCTGAATTCTGGAAAATTGATGGGTTATTGTATAAGTGTTGTATAATTGATGTACTATGCTGGAATTGTTGTTTGAGAATTGAAAAGAGTGTTAAATGTGAAATTGATTATTTTGGGAAGATTGAAATGATTGGTGATTTAAGTACAACAATTGCATAGTTGGGGTACTTAAATGTATTTATGCTTTTGTAAAAGCATTTGAATGGAAATAATTTCAATGTTGGAATTATTTGTATTAAGAATTTAAGAGGTAAAATGGTGAAGACCATTTTGAGTAAATGGGAAAAGTTGGTTCCAATGTTATAAGGAATTATTAAGAGTTAAATATTTTTGATAGATGATGAATTTCAAATATAGTATGGAGATATGATGGAATGTATTTATGTTAGTAAAATACTAACATATGGATTATTATGAATTGATGATTATACAGATCATGGTTGATTTGCAATTGAAGCAAGTCAAGTATAAAAAGGGTATATTGTGGACAATAGCGAGGCACAAATATTTTGAACGACATAAAGTGTCAAGGTGAGTGCAATACATGCATGAAATTATACATGGATGTTTTATACATCATAAGGAAGACTTGCGATAAGTCGACCTTGTTTATATCGGCATGATTTTATATTATTTTTATAAATTGACATTGAGATGTCAGAGTATGAAATTAAAATGCATTGATCATTAATGAAAAATGTGATATTTTACCATGAATGTTTTCGGGTATGAACTGCCCAATGTTAAATTTGATAATATACTTTGCCATGGATGGATCGAATAAAATAGACTATATGCCCAAGTAAGTCATTGAGGGACAGGGTATAGTTAGCATGCCATAGAGTATAGCAGCTGTAGGTTTATAATACACTTCGGTGTATATGGTGGGCACGACCTTATGTGTAATACACTTCGGTGTATATGGTGGGCACGACCTTATGTGTAGCACTACAGTGCAAATATTACTCGAATACTCAGGGTCCTCAGGGTTGTATATTGGGCTATAGGCTATGGTTTATGGTTTATTGCTTAATAAATGGTAAGCATACAAATAAGCTTATGAGCTTTTGGAATAATGGCAAGTATATGGGTAAAATAAGCTTACGAGCTTATGAAATTTAAATGGTAAGTATATTGGAAAAAAATTATAAGCTTACGAGCTTATGAGATAAATGGTAAGAGATTTTATATTATTTTGATCATGGTAAAATGATTTTATGGAAACTCAATTTTTGACATTGAAAATCATGCATGAATTGTATTGCACTGTTAAATGTTTTAATTGCCTCACTAAGTTTATACTTAGCGTGTGATGATTTTCATGTGTAGGTAAAAAGCAAAGAATAAGAATAAAGAGTTCAGAACGACATCAAGCATCGAGAGGTATATTTCAATATCAGTAAGACATCCTATTGTGAAATTTGATTTTAGATAGTGGCATGTAATTTGAAAATGTTCACTTTATTTGTTGAATTAATTTTGGAAATTTTTATAGTGATGAAAGGTTAATTTTTATGAATTTATATGTAAATTTTCGGAAGTTACTGTGGCATGAACAGTAACCACGGGTTTTAAGCAAAATTTCCAGATTGTTAAAGGGGTACCGATTCCCCTGCTACAGGGAATCGATTCCCCCACTATTCACTATTCACGGGCACTATTCACTATTCATAAATAAAAATATTTTGAATTAAATTGTTACAACGAAACGTAATTTTTATAATATGATATTTTTATAATATCATTTACCATTTTAAGAAAATAAATTTTAAATCACTTTTGAATCGTATAATGGTTTTAGAAATTTCGGATAACATCCGTAATCTGTATATGTATAAATATACGGGTTACGAGTGTTACAATGAGATAATCTCAGGTTTCTTTTAGATAGAATACACCTGAAAGTGTAAGTTGAATGAAGTATAAAACTTTCAATGATATTTAGTGCTGCATTTTCTTTTAATTCAAAAAGGAAATAGAAGCTACCCTTTATTTCATGCGGCATATTCTTTTGCACCTTGAAGTAACTATCATGAGAATTTCTTTTGTAATTTTCGATCTCTGTCAGATGTTATGTTTTACAAGCTTAATTCTGCATCCATTAATTTCCTTTTACATGAGGCTTTGAAAATAACTGGTGTCATCATCCTAATTGCTATTGGAAGCCTTTGAAATCTAAGGTGAGCGCTTTATAACTGGATTATATAGACTATTTCATTCTAATTATGGAGTTTTTTGTTTTATGCGTCCATGGCACGTAGAGTTGTGGTTGCTCTGTTTCTGGTATTGGATTGGGAGGTTCTTTTTGGTTGTAAAAATTAGAGGAAATTTTGCATTTGATTCATATGAACACAAAGATAGACATTAAAATTTTACATTAGAAGAAATTATGGAGGTTCTGTTTCTGGTATAGTGGTGTTGTTACTGCTTTGCATTGTGTAACAAGAAGAGAGGTTGTGGAAGTACAAGTTGAAAATTAAAATGTGCGTATAATAGTTACATAGATAGACATTGCTCTTCACCAATCAGTGTTTCTTTATGAAATTGACAATATACACATATGCATCAATTCACACTAAACATTGTTTGCCTCTTTTATTTCCCTTTTTACTTTTACGCATGCCATAACAATTCTCAGTTTCTCGTTTATTTTAGAGTGATTGTCTAATGGTAGTGGCTATAAGATATGCCAGTAATTCTCAGTGTGAACTTTTCTATGAAGAACTATTCGAACGTTGATCAGAGCTTTATCTAGTGGCTAATATATTCTGTTAGTATGACAACATGAATTTCCAGAAATGATCTTACTATGAAGCTTTGTTCTGCCGTTCTGCCTGATCCAATTCTGAGTCCTTTACATTGATTCTTGGGATATTGTTGTAATGTACTGGAAATGATTTGTAGGTATCGTATTTTTCTTCAATTTTGAACTTCTTCTAAGACAACCTGTATGTTCTATAGCTATGACAAATCAACAGCTAATGAATAGAGGAAACCATATAATGGATGAGACTGATCAAGCCATTGACAGGGCTAAGAACGTACAAACTTTTGATGCATTACATTTTGTTAACAAACGCTGCATTTTCCTCAACCTAGAAATGATTTCTTTATTTGTTATTATCATCCTTTCATTCATATTTTATTTATTTAACATCATATGTTAACCGACTAGCAGAAGCGGAGAAGGAGCATCGACCAATAGATGATTGCAATCAGGCAGTTGAAAATGAGAATGAAGCCGACCCCGGTTTAGGAAATGCTGGTAATCAATAGTGGGGGATCTTAAAGGAAATCCAAATGATTGTTTTCGGCTTCATCATGTCTCTCCTCCCAAGCTTTAACAACATAGAGTAGGCCATACTTCAGAGAACTGACAATCTTTTCCTTGCTAATTAATCATACGAGTAAGAGGAAAAGTTGAAACCGAAGTTTATATATGTGTAGTCGTTGTACGATGCTTGGTAGCCCTACTGCATCTGCAACAGACATTTCTGTTTTATTTATGAACCAGCATGCTTTATGTCGTTATTTTGTAGTTGAAATAACAAGCAAATGAGATGCAGATTTCTTTGTAATGCAGCTATGGAACGAGAGGCTGACTTCATTTATGGATTTTGTTTTCTTGACAGAGTTTTGGGTCAATTCTATTGTTGCTTACTTGACCGTTATTATTTGTTATTCATGTCAACATCTAAATCGATTTATTATTCATACGGAATCTTATAATATGAGAATATCTTTTTATAATATAATAAATATTATATCTTAGATAACAAAAATAATTTTCATTTTTTTTATTATTATGAATATCTATGAAATTTTTACAATGTAAACATTTTTACATAAATTATGTAAAATTTAATATTAATTAAAATATCTTAAATTATAAACATTTTTATTTACATCTTTTTATTATTATGAATATTTTAGTTAAATGTTGATGTAAAATTTTAATATATTTTTACATAAATTATGTAAAATTTAATATTAATTAAAATTAAAATAATACATGATATATTTAAATACTCAAGTAATATATTATTAACAAATAGAATTTTTATATAAATAATTTTTATTTAAATATTTAGAATTTCACTTGTTAAAAAATATAAAACAAGGACAATTTGGTAAAATATACATTCCAGTAATATTTTATTCCTTCAACCAAACACTGTAATCTTACATTCCTGCCAAACCAACCAAACACAGTAATGTAACATTCCTAGTAATTCTATTCACTGGTAATCTTTTATTCCCACTGGTAATCTTTTATTCCAACTGGTAATCTTACATTCCGTGAACCAAACACACCCTAAGAGATTTGTTGAACTCATTTTCGCAAAGTGCCTGCTTTTGAGCAGCGGATTGACAATATAGTAGGTATCGCATATGCCATGGACCTACTAGATTATTTTCCAAAGGTGAGAAGATTTCTGCTCATAATTTTTTTTCTTTATTTCATTGGTAAGTCTTTGCTTATTGATGCATGCAACAATATCATGGTGTGCAGAATTATGATCTGTTTGATTTTGAAGGGTGAACTGCTAGAAAGTACTACTGTGGGAGATATGGCTCATAAACCTGCATACTTTGTGCCCGGTAATTCTGTTGGTTTCATACTTTGCAACATGTGCCTATAGATTACATTCTGAGAAGCGATTACACGAAGTATTCTCAATTTGTTTTGCAGATTCAATGTCAGTCTGGAATCTCCTTAGAGAGTTTCGAATCATGAAGGTTCACATGGCTGTTGTTCTTAATGAATATGGTGGAACAATTGGGGTATGTGGTCTACCTAATTTTGAATGATTTTGTATTTACTTTTCTACTCTTGAATGTTTCTTATCTGTTCGGAGTTTTTGCTAAAGACGCAGTTTTCATGTTTTGTGTGGCATTATTTGATTTGTATGGCATAACTTAACCGGATTGCTATACGACATTAATATGAGATTGAACATGAAAAAGTTTCTGCAGTTTGAAAAGTTGAATGAGCTGCCAAATATTCCTTTTGTTAAAAACTACTTAGCAGGCAACGATAAGTAGTGCATTTCTTCTTGTCTCTCCTTTTTTAATTATTAGTTTTGATCTTTATGAACATATAGTCACCTTGGAAGATGTGGTTGAGGAGATTGTCGGTGAAATTTTCGATGAAAATGATTCAAAAGTAAGGCTTGCGACGCCTTGACGACTACATTATTAACTTAGTTCCTTTGCTATAAACTTTATACTAATTATTTACATTTATTCAAAATGCTGCTTTTCATTATTCCGCAATTAGTGAAACTTGCTTAAGAAATCCAACATCAGTCAAGACGATTGTTACACCTCAAAATCTCTGCTCGATGATTAATATAGCTCGGTTCTTATATTTTCGTTTCCTGCTATAACAAGAGGAGATCCAGAAGAAAACCGGCTATATCGTAATGCGAGCAGAGGGTATCTTTGATGTTGATCCTAATACATCTATTGACCAACTTTCCGAAGATCTAAACACCTCGTGCATAAATTTCATTTTATTTGTTTGCTTCTGCTAGTTTAGTAAATATAGAAATGTCTATGAATATGCATTCAGATGTAAGGTGTCAACATATTTTGTTTTATAGGAACATCAATACGAGACCATATCGGGTTTTGTATGCGAGGCATTTGGATATATACCAAGGACGGATGAGAGTGTCAAAGTAGTGCTTGAAAGGGGCAATGAAGAAGATGATGAGAATTCCGAAGCTGCACCTGATCGCCAAGATCTGAAGGAAAGGCATCAAATATATAAACTTGAGGTACGGTTCAAATCTTTTCGAGATACTGCATTCACACTGAACAATATAATATTTTGAGTGTCGAAAATATCAGTCATTTGCGTAATAATTTTGTGCATATTGTCTTGTATGCAGATATTAGCGGGAAATGCCCGAAAAGTTAGTGCTGTTCGATTCGAACAGATAAACAACGAAGAAGAACTATTAGATCCCACAACACTAACTCCGATGGTTCTGAAAATCGTGAAGAAGAAATGGAGCAGTGATGAAGACTCGAATAATGGTGATCGGGATGAAGATACATTTGAAAAAGAGCAACAGGATGACCTCTCGGATGATCATTATGTAATTGCTGATCATAAAGAGGATAATGAGAGCCCCAATGGTCAGTAATTGTATTACACTAATTGTTCTTTTTTTTCTCATTTGTCCTTTCCCCTTTCTAATTTCTAAGAGCTTCTTAAGAAGAGGTAATGATTTGTAAAACGGGAGGATCGAAACAACAATATAAATAGACCGACATTGTTACAAATTTTCACAGAATGAAGTGTCAATGGTGCCTGGGGATGATGGCCTATTTACTTGATGAAGCTTCCTGATTGATAGTCATCCTTCTCGTAGAACCAAATTTCCGATCATCGGAAATGGTGTGAATCCTACCGAGTTTTTCGGTGTACTTCGAAATGAAGGATGGTCAGCTACCTGAGATATTATCTCATGCTGCAGTGGATCTTCAAAGAAATTGGTAAGAGCCTCTGCAGCATTATCCCACAGCTCCCCCGGATGTCATGTAACAATTCCGAGCAGACAAGGACAGCCCCTGATTCGTTTAGTGCTTCGTGATCTTCCTGATTATAGCTCTGCGGAGCAATAGTTTCGGACACCGTTTCTTTTACCTCATTGCTCTGAGAGCCCAAAAGCTCGACCAGAAGGGGGATTGCATGGTTGCACCCGAGATTCGGACGACAGACACCGAGTGCTTATAACCCAATAGATTCCAGAAAATATTAGCAGTTGCAGCTTTTGATTCACTTTGCCTTTCCCAAGGATTCTCACTGAGTTTTCAGCTATTGAAACTGCATTTGTCTCTGCAACAGCTAATACACAGAAAACATCCTCCGAAGAATTAACATATTAACAACGATCTCCAAACAACCATTCATGCTAATGACTCGATTTTTGTTACACACGTTTACAAGGCACCAAATGCATTTCAGAAACTAGCATCAGACCGCGGCGATGACCTTAGTATCGAATGCAAAGCACCGGATTGACCTATCACGTTGGTCAACTTACCATCTTCTTAATGAGCAGCGCATTTTAAGCAATGAATAACCGGTCCTTGAAGACGAGGGATCGAATTATTTGAACTATCATCAGCAATAAGATTTCTAAGAATCTGTATGGTTTGGCTCAGTCTAGGGCTTGATTTGATAGCTTAGTCAATTAAGCTCTGGAATTTATAAAACCGTCTAACTCGAAAAAAATTTAAATACAAGTTTGAGTTATAAAATAAGACTCGTCAATTCGATTAACTTAAAAAAAATTTATTTAACTCGATTCGATCAAATACTAATCTTCGTGTTATTACATTAGTAACAATGTTAATGCCATTAAGATAATTTATTTTTTAAAAAGAAGTTAATTATATGCAAAACTAAACATCGAACAGTTCGTTTCTTTTTGTTTCTTCAAAGAAGCGATAGCTACGCACAGAGCAAATATTTTTGTAATAAAAATGGCTACTTTGGATTCATCAAACTCGTCCGCCGAAACCGACATTAAAACAAACCCTAACCCTGATCATAATTCTTCAAAAAAGCTACAAAACCGGTAGCGCCTTATTTTAATCTTATATTTGGGTTTTATTGGCATTGTTGATGTATATGGTAAAATAACAAGTTTTTAGGATTTTTTAAAATCAAATTTCAGGTTTCTTTATTTCTTTTGATTTTTTGTTTACAGATCAAATTGTTTCTCTTTTAAATTTGGCTTTATTTAAGGATTGCATTTTTTGGTCAGGTTTTGTATGAGATGAAGCTTGGAAGTGGTGGATTAATTTGGTTATGGGAAAATGATTGTAGTTGGGTTTTGTATGAGATGAAGCTTGGAAGTGGTTGATTAATTTGGTTATGGGAAAATGATTGTAGTTGGGTTGGGAGGATCATATGCACTACTCGATTCATATTAGTTGGTCAATAAGTCGGATACAATAGGTTATACGAAAAAACTGGTAGTAGTTGAGTGAATGAGATGGTTATAATGTTGAAAAATTAAGTTATGATTTATTTCTTTATTTTTTTTTGAAAAGAAGCGTTTTGTATGATTAATTCGACAGTTCATATAAAACAAGACGAGAAACATGAGTCTCATTAAAAAACTACACCTAATGGAGGAAAAAGAGTGCATCATGCTCGTCGAATCGAGCACACTATGACAACACTTACCAACATAATACATGGATTAAATAATTATGATTTATAGATTGAATAATTTCCTTAAAACAAAGCATCAGAATTTGGATAACGGTGACTTGGGTTCTCCCAAGGCCTTCCGTGGCTTTAAGCTCGAACTGCTTCCGGGAACTTTGGACCTTGAAGAGACTTAATTCATATGTATGTGAGCTTTTCACGTTTGAGAAATCAAATTGTAGGCTTTCTTTCGCGAACTAGGTTGCTATACGATGCATGTTAAAATTTGAATGCTCTGAATTTACTTCTTTAGGTGCCAGTTCATGCATAGGCTTAACTTCTAGTCACCAAACAATAATCTGTTGCGGAATACGGCTATCGGATAGAGCAAAATTACAATTGATAATTTGAGAAAATAAAAATGAAGATAAAGAAGACATAAATTTTACGTGGAAAACCCCTAAATAATATAAGGTAAAAAAACCACGGGCAAAGGTGGAAGAATTTCACTATGAGAAAATAGGAACTACAACTTCTCTTGATCTACCAAGGAGAAAACAATGACAATTCTCTCTTGATAGAAAGGAGAAAACAACTCTAAAGAAAACTCTCGAAATTCTCTAGTATTGGGAGAATGCTAGAATGATTTGGAATGGTTTTGAAGTTAAATGAGCTAAGGTATTTATAGTGAAAGCTTAAGGACTAATATTATAAATACCCTAAAGTACAATGACTAAATTGTGATTTTACCATTGTAAAAAAATTAACATTTTCTGCACCGAAAGTAATTTCCCATGTGCACCGAAAATCCACCAAAACTTTCGGTGAAATGTTTGGCCAAGTTGACTTTTCACCAATCTCTCACTTGAAGATTTGATTGTAACAATCATATCTTCACACCATTCTTTCTACCTTGTACCATCATGTTACTTACGTTTCTGACAGGCCACAAGAGGATCGACACCAAGTAAATTTATCGGTATTGATATCCTTCGTCATGAAATCTGCTATTGTCTTTGGTATGGATCTTCTGCATATCTACCGTCCATTCTTCCACCTTTTCACGAATAAAATGGTACTGAACTCATATGTGCTTTGTCATTGAATGAAATGCTGGATTCCTTGCTAGATGCAAGGCGATTTGACTGTCACAAAATAGAGAGACATACTCATGATTGTGTCCAAGCTCCTCCAATAACACTTCAACCAAATTGCTTCTTTACTGGCTTGTGTAGCTGCTACATATTCTGCCTCTGTTGTGGATGTAGCCACAACTGACTACAATTTCGAAACCCAGCTTACAGCTCCACCAACAATTTTGAACACATATCCTGTAGTAGATTTGCATTTATCCAAATCCCCTGCATAGTCAGAATCGACATACCCATTGATAAGTAAGTTTGATCCTTCGTAACATAATGCAGCATTTGAGGTCCCTTTGATGTATATCAGGATCCTCTTTACTTATTCCAATGATCTTTTCCTGGATTCGCCATGTACTGACTAACCACTCCCACTGCTTGTGCAATGTCTGGTCTTGTGCATATCATAGCGAACATTAAACTTCCCACTGCTAAAGCATACAGTACTCGAGACATCTTCATCCTCTCTTCTTCATTGCTAGGACTCATACTTGAGGATAACTTGAAGTTAATAGGAAGAAGGGTAGAAATTGGCTTACTATCTTGCATGTTGAATCGTGATAAGATTTTCTTCAAGTAATTCTTTTGTGAAAGCCAAATCTTCCTATTAGTTTTGTCTCGGTGAATTTGCATCCCTAGAATCTTGTTTGTTGATCCCAAGTCATTCATTTCAAATTCTCTAGCTAGTTGTGCCTTCATTTCTTCAATATGATCTTTGTTGGGTCCTGTAACCAACATGTCATCCACATACAACAACAATATAACAAAATCATTATCACCAAACCTCTTGAAATAAGCACAGGGGTTTGCATTAAGTCTGTTGTATCCAAGGCACATAATGAAGGAATCAAATCTCTTATACCAACACCTCAACACCTGCTTTAGACCTTACAGAGATTTGTTCAACCTGCAAACCATGTTCTTCTTTTCGTCTTCTTCAAAACCTTTAGGCTAGAGCATGTAAATCTCTTCTTTAAGATTTCCATAAAGAAAAGATGTTTTAACATCTAGCTGCTCTAGACGTAAGTTCAATGTAGCACACATTGCCAAAACTACTCGAACTGTTGTTAGTCGAACCACATGAGAAAAGATTTCATTGAAATCAATACCTTCTTTTTGAGCATATCCTTTGACCACCAGTCTTTCACGATACCTCTCAACTTGATCATCACCATTTTGCTTGATTTTGAATAACCATTTGTTACCAATTGGCTTCATTCCTTTTGGTAGTGACACAAGGTCCCATGTATTATTTTTATGAAGGGCTTCAATTTCTTCTTGCATCGCCATCATCCATAGTGAATCATTTGAGCTGTTTATTGCCTCCTGGTATGTTGATGGCTCACCATCCTCTGTTAAAAGGCAGTATGCAATATTACCTTCTATAACATAATCTGAGTGCCAATTGGCACATCTTCTCACACGATCTGATTGACGAGTTGTTGGAGCTTCAGAACTCTCTGGTTCTTGTTCATCATTTGCTGGTTCTGCTTTAGCAGAATCTTCTTGTTCAAACTTCTTTTCCATATGTATCTGTGTAGCCTCTGAATTTTCAGTGCTATCTTTTTTTCTTTGTAGTTTATCTTCTACAAAGATAACATCCTTGCTGATGATCACTTTACGGGCAGTGGGATCCCATAAGCGATACCCCTTTACACCATCAGCATACCCCAAGAATTTGTATTTCCTGGATTTTGGATCCAGCTTTGAAATTTCTTAGGAGTTGTACATCACGTACACAATACTTCTAAATATATGGAGGCTTGAATAATCAACTGGTTTACCAGTCCACATCTCCATTGGTGTCTTCAGCTCTATTGCAGTTCATGGAGCTCGATTCACCAAATAACATGTGGTATTGACTGTTTCTGCCCAAAATGATTTTTCTAGGCCTACAGCCCTCAACATTGCTCTTGTTCTTTCTAACAAGGTTCTGTTCATCCGCTATGCCACTCCATTTTGTTGAGGAGTGTTCTCCACTGTGAACTGTCTTTTGATGCCTTATTTTCTACAAAAGTCATCAAATTCTTCACTTGTGTATTCTCCTCCATTATCTATTTTGAAACACTTGATCTTATTTCCAAAATCAAGTTCCACCCGCGCTTTGAAGTTTTTGAAAGTTGAAAACACATCTGATTTCTTCTTAATAGGGTACACCCAACATCTCCTGGAGTAGTCATCAATAAATGAGACAAAGTATTTTGCTCCGCCTAGGGATATAACTGGTGCTTTCCATACGTCAAAATGAACCAATTCTAGAACACTTTTGCCTCTAGAATTTAACGTGTTGAATTTCAACTGGTGCTGCTTACTTGTTATGC